AAGGAAAGGGAACAAAGGCACAGAACAATTCCTATTGTTTTCCATGACTTTCTTCAGGGCAGCTCTTCCAGCGCAATGCTGCTGCCCAGTTGTGAAAAATGCCTATTTTATGATTGGCTTTTCGCAAATATTAAGATGAATATTATATGCGTTATGTTAGAAAGTTATGCTGCATTCATTTTCTTAAGTAGTGTGTTAAATATAGTTTTAGGTTATAACATAGTGTTAAAATAGAAACTATGCTATGTAGGATATTTTTTTTTTAAAGAAAGGACTCACACAGAGATAGCAGCCACAGGACACCTAAATCTTTCAGAGAAAGAGAATTTATTGCCCCATTATCAGAAGAAACGAACTTCTTCCTGCTTCTCTCAGCCCTGAAGACGCTGTTAGGATTAAGAGGAAGAAGTTGACGTTGACCAGACAGAATCCTTTGTTTGAATAGAATTTATTCATCATGTGTGAGGTGCATGAATATACAACAGGCTGTTGTTTTTAAGGGTTAATCCTCTGTCAACGTGTGTCCTTTTTCGGGTTTATTTCGCCCAGAAAGAGGTACCTGGACTGTCCCTAACTCTTTGTTCTTATTGTCTCGTATTGACCTAATCTCAATTGTCCAAATTTTATTACTCTTATTATATTACTATTTTTATAACCATTTTATTACTATGAAACTTTTAACATTTTTAGAACGAGTGATTGGTGTTTTTCACAGCAGTCACTCCGGCTGCAGCACCGCGGCTCCCTGTGTGCGGGGGACACGGGTCCCGTGCCGAGGTGTCTGCCACCAACCCTCCGAGGTTGTCTCTGCTAGCACAGACAGACAGCACAGAGACAGCACTCTCAGCAGGGTTATCCACTCCCCACAGCTCCTCTCCTGCTCCACAGCAGCATTCCTGAGAGGCTCAGGCATGGGAATATGGCACTGCTGGGTTAATGGTTTGTCTCCACGATCTCAGAGGTCTTTTCCAACTGAACAATTCTACGATGACACCCAGATTCCTGTAACCAGCCAAGGCACAGCGCTGTGGTGGGGAAGGGGCGAGCTCAGCACAAGTTCGAAGTGAAGATCACCCCAATCACTTCTGTGGGTCTCCAAGGGGGAACAGAAGCATCTACAGAAGAATCATAGAAAGGTTTGGGTGGAAGGGACCTTAAAACTCATCCAGTTCCACCCCCTGCCATGGGCAGGGACATCTTCCACTATCCCAGGTTGCTCCAAGCCCCCCGTCCAACCTGGCCTTGGACACTTCCAGGGACAGGGCAGACACAGTTTCTTCTCTGAGCAAAGAAGGCATCTCCTGTGTGAGAGAGAATTCAACCCACAAGCCTTGTAGGATGGTGATGAATGGATAAAATAAATCAAACCAGTGACCAGTCAGTGACAAATCAGTCACTGAGTGGGTGTTCCAGGGACAGATGCTGAAAGTTTCAAATGCTAAGTGAGGCTGGATGGGGACACTTTGGACAAGTGGCTTCTCCAGGAATACTGATGTTTTTGTAAAGCCACACTTCATACAGAGCCTTAGGAGCTTCCTACAGCCCACAAAGCCCAGGCCTCCCACCAAGGCCATGCCTAGGTTCCAAGAAGATCCCATATCAAACCAAGATCTGGCAAGGACAAAGCTCAACTTCTAACTGCCTCTCCAGACAAAGTGAGCTTGAAAACACCTGGACTCCAGGCTGCCTGTCTGCCATCCTCCTCCATTGCAAGAACTGCTGAGAAAAGCTGAGCTCTGGCTGAGCAAAGCCTCTCTAGAGCCACACTCACAGCAAGCCTATTAGATACCAAGGAAGGATCTCCAGCCCCAGGGGTTTTTGCTTCAGAACAAGTTCACCTGATCCAACCCACTCCATATTTCACCATTTCCTAGCTCCCAGAAGGATGGATGGCAAGGGGAAACAAGGCATCCCTGGGGATGAGCTCTGCTGTTCATTTTCAGCTTGGAGACCTGGGCATGTCTCTAACACATCTGTCTCACAGAGGGAGATCCCCCAGCACCTGACCTGCTGACCAAGCCTGGAGAGATCCAGCTGGGATTGGCTCTCTCTGAGAGGTCCTCCTCTGACTGGCAGAAGAAGACAGGGATCCTGGTGAAGCAGCACACCAGGAGAGGAGTCTGTGTGAGCCCACCCCAGGCAGACTCAGCAAAAAAACCCCCAATTCATTCAACATCCCCATGCCAGCCCAATTTGGTTCAATCTGCCAAATTATTTTGGCATGGGGTAAAACTGTTTGGGGCCCAAACTTCCATCCCAGCTGTGGGTGGAGAGCCTCCCTAAGCTGGGCCCTGCACCCAAGAGCGTGGGTGCCCCCCACCCCCTGCATGTTGCATCCTGCATTTGTGCTGCTTTGAACCCACCTCCCGTGTCACCCCGCAGCCCTGGCTGCAGCAGGGGCGTTTGCCTCCACTCCTCAGTGAGCTCTGGCCCAGGACAGCCCTTCCTGGCCACCCCCTTCCTGGCAGTCCCTCCAGCCAGGGACAGAGCCCCAGCCTCATCCCCCACTCAGGATGCAGCACGGAGGAAGGACACTCAGGCCAGGACTTGGCTCATCTCCCCCACACCCTTCAGGGACATGACCAGACAGACCCACTCCCAAATCCCTCCTGAGAGCTCCCACACACACTGTCACACCAGCAGCTCCCCTGTAATAACCCCGGGGCCGTGGCACTGCCATTCATCATCTATTAACACACCCCATCATCTCACCGCTGCCCAGTCCCCTCTCGGGGGGTGTGAGCCACCTTCAAAAGCCACCTGGCTGCTTCTCCTGGGGCTCTAACACCACCTGCCCAGGGAGAAGACCCATGGGAGCAGGCTGGGAGAGGCAGGAAGATCACCAGGACTGGAAGGCACAGACCTCCCAGCCACCCCACGCTCCCGTGGGGCCATGAGAGCACCAAGCAGGACCACCAAATGTTACAGGGCTGGAACACTTCCCTCCTCAGTGATGGTTTCATCCCGGCAGCACCAGGGAGCCTGGCACAGCATTTTTGGTGCCCAAGACATCAGGTGGCACCTGGCAGCAGGAGAGGGGACATAAGGAGCCCTTGCAATGCCACATCCAAGACAATCCCAGTATCAGCAGCACGGCTGGCACTGGGAAGGGACACTTCAGATCTGTGCTGCTTCTCCTTTCCATTCTCACAGGGGTAAAACACACAGAGCATCCTCACCAGGAAGACACCTGGCACAGAGCTTCCCTGTTGCATCCATCCCAATGCAGAGCACCACCTTCCATTCAAGATATCACCCCAGAAAGGCAAAAAAAAAGCTGGCAGGGAGCCCGGGGCTGGCTCTGCCCCCGAGCTGCAGCCGTTTCATGTGGCTCCAACGCCTCTCACACTTTCAAAGGCACACCAACCCAGTTAATGGATGTCTCACAGCCCACTGTGTGTGTTCTGACACAGCCCCTCTGCCAAGGAAAAACAACAGTGAGCGTGTGTGGATGTGTGTATATACAAAGGCTTGACAGAGGATGTTGCTTGCATTTTTACAGCTTTGTTGAAGGGTTTGGTTGGGGTTCTTTTTTTAATGTAAAAGCCTAAAGCAAATACAATCCAGAGAAAAGGATTTTTTAAAAAAATCTTTAATACTTTACCTACATGCATAACACCTGTAGAGCTCTGACACTCACCAAGGAACATATTTTATAGTAAGTGTTTCAGGCTGAAAGAAGACTGAAAACTGCTCAGGAAAACATTGCTACTGGCCACTACTGCACATCCTGCCAACATGAGTGTTCATTCAGGGACACAATTAAGTCTTTCAGGGAAGTCTATCCCAGGAGCTACACACCAGCTTCACAAGTTTTAACCTTCAGGTGTTCCCCACCTGCAGTAAGGTGTCTGTGCCATGGAACCCTCTCAGCTGGTCACAGCAGGAGCCCACACACCTTCACTGTGTGAGCTGAACCCTCCTGCTTTATGCAAGGATTCATTTTGTTGCAGAATAATGAAGTTTTAGCTCTTTTTGGCAAATAGAAACAGGGAATCTAACATGCCAACCACACTGCCACTTTCAAACCTTCCATAGAATCCCAGACTGGTGTGGGTTGGAAGGGACCTTAAAGCTTATCCCATTCCAGCCCCTGCCATGGGCAGGGACACCTTCCACTAGCCCAGGTTGCTCCAAGCCCTGGCCTTGGACATTTCCAGGGATCCAGGGGCAGCCACAGCTTCTGTGGGCAGCCTGTGCCACGGCCTCCTCCCTCACAGGGAGGAATTCCTTCCTGAATGAACACAATGGGCAATGAATTTCTTTTGACAAACACAAATACTCACCCACTGGCTTCAGCTGAGTAAACAGCCACCAGCTAGGACAGCTCTCACCTCAACACCAGGTTTCAGTCCTCTGAGGTGAACTTCTGCCCACATTTTGTCACCTTTAAGACTGAGAGGTAGATATAGTCACTGGGTGGCTTCAAATGCCTATCGGCAAGCCCACTGCATGTCAGCTACTTAAAAAAGAAAGGTTTTTTACTTTTGAACAGAAATTTGAGGACTGAGGGAATTCTGAGTGGGAACTGGGCATCTGAGAAACCTGCTCAAGTGGAAGTTGTCCCTGTCCATGGCAGGGGGGTGGAACTAGGTGGTCTTTAAGGTCCGTTCCCACCCAAACCATTCAGTGATTCTATGAGCTACATGTCCTCCTCAGACCCAAGTGCTGATACCAGCACATTCTGAATGAATTCACCTGTTGCACGTTCACCAGAACCTCCTAGGCCAGACACATGGATATAACAACATCTGTAAGGAGCAAACTACACCCCATCTGCCCACCATCAGATTTTTAGTTTTCTTTGAATCACCCAGCCACTGCCAGCATTAGTTGCCTGGAAAGTCCATGCAAACTTGTCAGCTCTTTCACTCCTAAAGTATGACATGTTTTAACTGGGTTAGAATGAACCCTTGCACTCCTTTGGAGCAGTCTCTTGGCCGTGTGGTTACTCAAATACAACACCCACTGCAATACATTCGTGTACAACTACAAAAGGAGAAAATATAAGCACTTTATTTTCAGTATGCAGACTAAACCCCACCATAAAATGAAGATAATGAGCAAGCACACATGAATAAAACACTCAGCACTTAAGCAAACCCCACTTTTGCCACATCTGTGTTTCTGCAGTGGCTCCTGCAGCTCTCCAGTGTTGTTCCCAAAGGTGGCTTCCCTACTCCCAGGAACAATTCTCCCTCTACTCCAGAAAACACTCCCAGTTTGCATAAAGTGCTACATTTTCCTGTATGCCTTGAAATACTAGTTAGGTACAACACTATTTCATCATCTCTGCTCCCAAGCTATGTCCAGTCCCACTTCCACCCTGACATCAAAGCCACAATTACTTCTACAAGGAGGTAAAATCAGCAGGTTGTAGCAATACAACTCTTCAGAGGTGCACAACGATGGCAAAGTGTGATCTGCAGCACAGACAGCAAGACAAATGCTGAACAGTTGTACCACACACATGCACACCATCACCTCTGTAAAGCTTTCTTCATGGTGTGACTTCTTCCACATCACAATTTTTCACATTTAAAAAACAACAAACCAGCCCTTGTCAAATTTAGCCCATTTAAAGCTGCCAACAAAATTGGATTCCATGTGCTATCAATGGGCATGTTATTGCTTGTAGTAAATTGGAGAAATTTGGACCTACACATGAGATTGGCTTGCAAAGCAGAAAGGTCAGCAGAGGCCCCTCAGCAGATTTAGGAACTGACCAGCTGGTATCTCCTGCACCCTTCACACTGGTTACAACACTGCAAATGTCCAAAGCACACACACCACCATCCTCAGCAAACAGCCCATCCTCTCTGGCTCCTATTTAATGCACAAGAGCACTCAGTGTAGAGTGTCACAGGTCACTTTTGTAAGTCCTTCATGCTCATGATGGACCTGGCTCGTTCACCTGAAAATGGGTGACAGGGCTGGAATGGCAAAGCAGTGCCAAATCCTCTCAACACTCACATGCCACCAGAGTGAGCAGATATTCTTGCAGAGCTGTGAACATGCCCAGCACAGCAAACACATCCTCACTGGATTTTCCAACTGCCAATGACCTACCTCACCCAGGTGACCTTGCACAATCCAGCCTTTACACCTCATGCCTCTGAGTGTGAAGTTTACAACTGGGTGTCTTCAAGGACTAATAAAGCAGCTCTTGGGATTTCTGCCAAGCCAACACTGACTCAAAAGCTCAGTACAAACTCATAGTGGTACATGGGAACACCAGGCCATTCCAGACCCCCAGCCAGTCCTCACAGCTCACTCCCTTAAAGTTCCTTTCTTTGCTAACACACCTTGACTACAGCCCTGCTTTACAGCCTCTCCTTCTAACTATACTCTTTAAATCAGATCTGACTGCAACTGCTGCCCTTAACCTAACAAGTACAGAATGGATAGAGTAACTCCTGTCTACTGCTGCTCCAGATGCAATGCTACCTATAAAAACACAACTAATTCTGCCAGCAGACAATCCAAACCAGCACTGCTCTCCAACAGCAGAAGGGTGAGGGAGGGCTGCAGATTGCCAAGTCTCCAGGCTTTCCACACCACAAAGTAAGGCAGCAGCAAGCAGCCTTTGAAACAGCATTGTCTCTGTATTTTTCTCTACCATTAAATCCCTTTTCCACACAATTTAGTGAGTGAACTAGAGGCTTCTCTGGAGCAGTGGAAGAAAAGAGATGGTAAATAAATAACGAATTATAAGAACTAGGCCAATAGTTTTACAAAGTTTTCCTTTTTGGTACTAGCACTGAGCACTGCTCGTTTCCAGATGGAGAGAAATACAAAACACTTCAGTCTCTCTGTGAGCTTAAAGTCCAAGTGACTTCTGCACAATCTGCTTGGCAATTTTGTTAAATTGTTCTCTGTCTTCCCGCCACATCTTGGAGGCATCTACATTGGCTCCACTTTCATCATTTGGCTCTGAAACAAGAAAGACAAAAGTAGGTGGGCAATGGAGCTTCTTGCTTCTTCAGGAATGCCACTTCCCCAGGGCTTTGAAACACTTCCCCTCCTTGAGACTGCAGAAACACCACTACAGCAAATCCAGTGACAGCTCCTGCATTCCCAAAAGGCTCTGATTTAACCGACCACAAAAGAAAGGGTATCACAACAAATTTGAGTTAGGCAAGAAACAAGTGGCACAGGAGTAGGACTTTTTTTGTTTGTGCTTTCAGCAGTGGAGCCCCACCATGCACGTGGCCAACACAATGTGGCACCCCAATACTGTCAAGGGCTTTTAAAACCATGTGTTTCTCCCTGCAGAACATTTTTTTTCTTGTTCTCCAGCTTCCCAGACACAAAGCCCCTCCAAACAGGCCACCCAAACAAGCTGCCACTTGTTGGGATGGCTTGTTCTATTAAAAACCAACAAAACAATCCAAGGAAACCCATGGAATATGCTTTCACTTCTGCAACATCTTTCATCAGATGATTTCAGAATGCTTTACGAAGCACATGGAGTGCTGAAGTTCCAGGGGCTCCCCATTTTTTATGGAGGTGAGCTGAAACCCAAGATTTACAAGGCCTGTGGGCAGCATACAGCAGGACACTGTCCTGGGGTTCCACAAGGCACTACCATACTCTGCTCACTTCCCTTGACACACCAGTCACACCCACCCCAGCCCTCTTCCTGGCAGTATCTAGGTTCCATCCTTCTCCACATGATCCTGATGGTCCACCTGAAAAACCAGCAGGTGTGCAGGTCACCCAGCCTGCTAAACCTGGGCTTACACTGCAGAGCCAGGGCTCAGAGTCTTCCAGTACCCTGAAAGAAGCTGACCACTGGTGTTTTAGGCTAATTTCTCCAAAAGCCATGGGAAAACAGGATGCACAGGCAGGGAAGGAGACCAGGTGGCTCCCACACTTCCCAGTCCAGGTGAGGCTGCACCACAAACCAAGCTCTTGGAAGCCATGGGAATCCCATGGGTACTATTTGTCTGCACGGCTTCCCAACTGCAGGTTACTATTCCAAAGCTAAAACAGTCCCATGCAGGAATCTGTTGCTTGCTCTTTGGTCAACTTTGCAGCTTCTAAACCCATGTATCCTTCAAAACCAGTTCTAAAGGACATGGCTCAGGCAGTTCAGTGGCCCTGTCCATTGTGTGGAAAATTTTTCAGAGAGCTGTACATGACAGAAGTGATCCACAGCCCTTGTTAGATTTAGGAAAAACCATTTGAAAGGCTCCACAAAGAGTTTTTCACCCCAGGTCTCTTCTCAAGAAGCCTTCTTCTGAACCAGAGATGGCAGACTGGGGCACATTCCCAGGCTAGGAACAACAAAGAGAAACAGAGTGTGCTGGCTTCTGAACCAGAGGCCACGGACTCCAGTTTACTGTACTGGTTAGGTCTGATAGCCCTTCAGCTGCCAAAGCCAAATCCAACACAGGCTGTAATCCACAGCTTTAAAACATGAAGAACAGCATAGCAAATACAGAGAGGGCTTTGTCCAGCTGAGCCTCTGGGACCACCAGACCCATCACTATGTCTCAGCTGCTGCCGACCTGCAAGGGAAGCTTTGCAGTAACCCCCAAACAGGAACACCTGCTACTAATTCAGTTCACTTTTTCCAATTTTTTCCACCCTTCTCAGAGCACTGGTTCACTAATAAATAAACAAATCCCAGGGCTTTAAGACCTGTGGTTGCTGCTGAGCAGCTTTCCAGGTGCTTTGCTCAGTGAACAAAGCAAAAAGCAAGAGGCAGCTGCAGGTGACTCAGGAAGGGCTGCCAGGACAGCAGGGCTCACCTGCCAGCATGCTCACAACCGACAGGAGGATCTTCTCCACGCTCTGCACGGGACTCCACCGCTCCGCGCTGCTCTCGTACCCCATGGGATCATCCCCAGGAGCATGAAGGATGGAGATGCACACTCTCCCATCTGGGTAAACTGCACAAAAAGTACACAGGATTGGTTGTTACTTAGTGGAAATGCTCAGATGCTCTCTATCTCTTGGGCATAGATCAGCCTTAAGACTTAGCTCTTCTATGATTAAAACTAAATCCAGGTTTAAATTTCCTCTTTAAGAAAAGGACACAGCATATGAAAGACAAAACCCCAGGACAAATCTTCTTTAAGCAAAGCTAACAAACTCCTTCCCCAAGTGCCTGCTGGGAGCACTTGTGGCATTTAATAACCAGTGAAAGGCTCTATGGAAAAAATTAATGATGCAGCCTGGTGGAATAAGGCAAGAATTTATGCACAGACACAGCTCCAAGCAGGTAACCAGTGCCACTGAAATGGAAATGAATGCACTGAATGCACATTGGAGTCCTCCACTGGACTGTGACCATGAAAAGGATTACACAAAGGAGGGAAAAATGTTATATATATTATAAACATGAGAAAAAAAGTGTTACGTTAAATACATTATGAATAGTAGAACTGATCTTTTTTTGAACATTACTGAGGTGCAATCAGAAGAATTCCCACTACTTAATTTTTTATTTTTTTATTTTTTTCTGCTTAAAGCTCAGCTGCATTAAAGCACCTGGAAACAGGGAAACCTACGAATTAAGGATCCAGGTGCTTCCCCTCCCACCTTTAGCATAAGCAACAGTGTCTGCAACAGTACAAGTTGTCTTCACAGACTGGACTCCCCTGACTTGGTAATGAAATCAAACAAAGGTTTGAAGAGGCACCTCAAAAGAAAACACTGCTCTACCAGTGGCCTCATTCTCTTAAATGGCAGGGTCCTGAGGAATGACAACTTTAGCACAATAATTTCAGGGCTTCCATTCCTCAGGTGACCAAGCTGGTGCCATTGCCAGGAAAGTAAGACAAAACAAGTGGGAATGACTGCTGGAAGCTGCTGTGCTCATTTCCAGCTCCTTCCATTCACCCAGCTATGTCTGCCCAAGCACGTAAGCACTGTGGAGGACTTTTATTTACAGTCCTTCCTGCAGCCCCAGGCTGGGGACTGGAGCTGGTCTAACCATAGCTGGAAGAGGTGAAAACAGCAGGTGCTGAATCAGCACTTCTTACAAGTCAGGAACCCACTGGCAGAAGGGATTTCACTGCTGAGGGAGTCTCCTGTTCCTGTGCAGTGCCTCATTTAAAACAGCTGGAACACAGCAGCACAGTCAAGACATCAAAGGCTGACTGCAGGAAGATGTATGGATCTTCTCTCCCTCTGCTCAGGTGAGATCCACCCCTGTCCAGCTGTGGGGCCCCAACCTAAGGATGTGGAGCTGTTGGAATGAGTCCAAAGGAGGCCACAGAGAGATGCTCCAGAAACAGGCTGCAAGTGCTCAGCCTGGAAAAGAGAAAGCTCCAGGGAGACTTCAGAACCCCTTCCAGTGCCTAAAGGGGCTCCAGGAGAGCTGGAGAGGGACTTGGTACACAGGGCAATGGCTGCACACTGCCAGAGGGCAGGGTTAGATGGGATATTGGGAAGGAATTGTTCCCTGGGAGGGTGGTGGGAACCTGGCACAGGTTGTCCAGAGCAGCTGTGGCTGCCCCACCCCTGGAAATGTCCAAGGCCAGGGTGGACAAGGCTTGGAGCAACCTGGGACAGTGGAAGGTGTCCCTGTCCATGGCAGGGGGTACCAGGGTGGACAAGGCTTGGAGCAACCTGGGACAGTGGAAGGTGTCCGTGTCCACGGCAGGGGGTAGAACAAGATGGGTTTTAATGTCCCTTCCAACAATCCTTCCCAAACCACCTATGATCCTGTGATCTCCCCACACTGATGCTCAGTGCCAATGCAAGCAATGCCATTCATCACTACTCAGTTACTTTTGCCAAGGTCATTGTAATGTAAGAGAAGACAGTTCTGTGGTATCTCAGTTCCCCCTGCACATAAGATAAACTGCAAAGATGAGGAGACACACCAGACTTTTTAAACATTTTACTTGTGATTCCTCACAGGGGGAGAAATAAACAGAAAAAGCACAGCCCAGCCACACCTTTTTTCAGCCTTTCTGGGTAGAAGCAGCCCACCACAACCCCATCTGAGAAGATTCAAGTGTCTGCTTCAGGTGATCTCAGCTTCAGATTAAGAAGACTCCAAGACACAGGGCTTTAAAGAGCTGAGCTGACCATCCAGTGTGTTCCAATTATCCCATGGAAGAAACACCCATGTGTAAAGCCACTCTTTAATACAGGAGTCAGGCAATTTGTGCTTCTCCACACCCCACTCCTCCTGGCAGTGCTGCACACAACACAGCTGCAAGCAGTGAACCTCAAGCCAAGGCCACAGCTGGAGCTGCAGGGACAAGGATTTGCTCAGGGAGACCAATCCTGGCAAGAAATTTGGGTAAATTAGTCCAGATGGAGCAAGGTGCTGACATGGCTACACTGCTTGCAAGTGCTAAAGTGCCCTGTTGTGACACCAGAGCTCCAGAGGTGATGCCACACTGCCTTGGGCATGTCCACACAGTTCTATGCTGTGACAGGCAGGTGTGTCCTCCACAGGAGAACAAAGGTGTGGATTAAATGGGCAAGAACCTGCACAGGTGATGCTTCCAGAAGGGAAAAACAGAGAAACTTCAAGAAATTGCAAAATTCCTTGTATATAGGGTGAAATAAATTGATTCCCAGCTGAGATTATGACCTGTGTTTTCCAGGTGCAAGAATGTCAGCTGAAGAGGAAGCACTAGGCAGGAGCACAGCTTTTGCCTTTTCCTTAAGGAACCTTAAAGTTTTTTGAAAAAAAAAAACTTAAGATTTTTTCATGTCCAGGGCTCAAACTTGTTAGCTTTATTTCTTGTCACTGCAATTACCCCCACTGAAGAGTCTTCAGATAATACTGTCACCACCACACATTCACTAAGGTTGGAAAAGGTCTCTAACTCAATCAGTATCACAGAGCAAAGACCAGCAAAGTCTCAAGATTAAACACCTGTAAATGTGTTGTCTGCTTGGACAGAGCACTGTGTTTCAGAGATCCCCTCAGAAATGTTAAACCTGTGATTTCATGGAGCAAAAGCCATGCTGCCTAATAAAGCTGCACCTATGAACAACTTTTCATTCATTAAAACAACACCAAAATACCTAAATACAAGCCACAGAGCAAGACTGAGTTCATGGTGTGGTGGGACAATGCTCTCAGGCACTTGGTGGGATTCTTGGGGTGTCCTGCACAGGGCCAGGGCTTGAACACCATGATCCTGATGGGTCCCTCCAAACTCAGCATATTCTATGGTTTTTATGTCTGGAAAGAGCTTGCATTAATCCACTAAGTCTCATATCCTGTACAGAAGATTTAAAGGCATGGAATTTGCTGGAATCCTTTTTGGATGAGCAAAAGTTTTATGAGGAATAATGGGATAAAGATAAAAGGACGCTAAGACAGAGCAAAACTGCTGGGCAGCTGATTGCTCTTGCTGCCTGCTCAAGGCTGGAAAGGGAGAGAACCACCCTTGGGAAGGATGCCAGATCTCCTGCTGCAAAAGTTTCTTTTTAAGCTGCACAAGCCACCCACCCCCCTGTGCATCCTGCTGCACCAGACTCACTGTTGGGATGGAACATCTCACACGTGAACCTCATCTTCGGAGGGCTCAGCGGGTAATCGAGCGGGAAACTCAGGATGGCAGGGAAAACCCCATACTCAAAACAGGTGTCTTCAGGACCCCTAGAAACAGAAAAAATGTTATTCACCAATGTTTTAAACAGCTCTTTCACCCAAATTCGTGTCTAATGACACGTGTGAGGCGTGGGTTACATCATCTTCTCCAGGAAACAAAGAGTTAAGGTGCTCTCATCCCACACCTCATAAACTTAAATCCAAATATGAGGCTTGGGAGGCAAGGGGGAAATCAAAGCTTGCACGCTAAATTACTAGGAAGGTCACAACACTGTTTAATTAGCAGGGTGTGTCTGGATATAATTGGAGTATCTGGCTCCAAGGCATGTTCCAGGATTTGAGTGTCTGCACGTCAAGCGAAAGCAGAGGCAGGTGTGGGACTCCTGTGCCTTTGAAGATACTGTTATGCTCTGCAAGACAGAGATGTCAAACACTGCAGCTCAAAATTAATTTATAAATGCCACAGAGATCCCAACTGCCAGTATCTAGCACAACCACACAAACACTTATCACTGTCTGATGCAGAAAGCACAGCAAAGGTTTGTCAAAATAAAAACACAGCTCAGAGACCGTAATTGTCAGAGGAGATGCAGGACAACAATGTGTCTTTGCAGACTTCAGCTATTGAGTTTGCCCTCCCTCGAGTGCAGGTGGAGAACAAATGGCTTCATCAGGGCTCTTGTAGAAACATTTCCTTATTGTGTTCAGAATCTAGTTCAAAGTGCAGTTGAGTTGAGAACATAAAGACAACTATTTTACCCTGCCTACATAAAACACTTGTGGAAAGTGAGCAAAAAACAAGTTATTTGTGAGCAAAAAAACAAGTAATAAATCATTAGTCATGATTTATTCAAACTTGATGAACCATCTGGAAGTTGTAACACAAACATGATTTCCCTTGATTGGAAAGATGATGAAAAAAGCTTCAGCATCAAAAACTGTTGCCAAGGAAACCTCATGTATTTAGTAAAAGGCCATTCAAACAAAGGTTCCACTGTCTGCAAAATAAGGGTTAGGAATATATTCATGCTTCCTCCTCCCAATCCACATTCTCCATGCCAGAAAGAACATTAAAGTTGGAGAGCAGCAAATCCTAAAGCGCTGGAAGACTTATTGTCTCAAACTCGGGGATTCAAAAGACTTGGCTGGTAGATAAACACAAGAATGATGTGATTTAAACATGAATATTGACACTGGTAGGTAAGGTAAAAGAAATGCACCAACATTCTGCAAGAATGAAAGCTCAACTGTCTCTCACTTTGTTCCCTTTCTAGCCTTTTCCCTAAATTTAGTCAGGATTCAATTCACATCTGAGAGTAAACTGAATGCATTTTTTCCTGACCATTTTAATTCCAGCTGCATTTTAAAGGCTTATTGTTGAACTTCTGAGAGTACGTACATACAGGCATTGAAAAGCTGGTGGGTGTCTATGTTCTGTTTTGAGAGCAAACCCACAGCCTTAAGGGCTCTTCTGTCAAATACACTCAACCCAACATACTCCATTTTAGGCCCTGTATTATGTGAGCAAAATGCTTTTGTTTTAGCCACTCAGCGCTGCCAGGATCAACTTCAAAGAAATTATTAAAGTTAATCCAAGACAGCATTTGCAACTACAAAACACTCAGCATTTGAACTTGACAGCATCACTTTTAGCTCACAAAGGACATTGGCAGGGCCAGGGAGGTAAAGAGCATGGCAGCTGCTGCTCTGCAGTGATTCCAAAGCTGACAAGAAGACAAAACATGAAAATGAGAAGCTCTGAACGCCAGGAGCTGGCTGTAACTCATGCAAGGGGCAGAGAAGAGTGGTGAGTATCTTCCAAACAGGAGAGAGAAGTAGTTTGAGAAGGACAGCTATTGGGAGTTGTTTAGTTTGGAGAAAAGGCTCCTCAAGGGGACCTTCTCCTACAACTGCCTGACAGGAGGGTGCAGCCAGGTGGGCGTCGGGCTCTGCTCCCAGAGGACAAGAGACAAACCAAGAAGAAACAGCCTCAAGTTGCAACAGGGGAGGTTTAGGTTGGATATTGGGAAAAATTTCTTCCCTGAAAGGGTTGTTCAGCCTTGGCACAGGCTGCCCAGGGCAGTGGTGGAGTCACCATCCCTGAAAGCACTCAAAAAACATGTGAATGTGGCACGTGGGGACACGGTTTAGTGGTGGATTTGTCAGTGCTTGGGGAATGGTTGGATTTGATGCCTCAACCATTCTGTGATTCTAATTCTATAATCACAGCTTCACATACATTTGCAAATGGCTTATTTGTAAAAAGATGATGGAAAAACACCAAACCCCACAATCATCAGATGCCCAAAAGGGGAATGGAAACAAAAGTCATAAGCCTAATTATAGATCTAATTACCTTTCTCAACAGCTTTGTGATACGTTGACTTCAATTTCTACTGTTTTGTTTTCAAGCAATCTTAAGGCTAATAAAGTTCTTAACCATTGCGTGCTTTTGTGTCTTTTGGGGATAAACTTTAATAGCAACACACTTGTACATGCCAGCCAAAGAGGGCAAAACTTGGCCTTGAAATGTTAAATCCATGAAGACAACACAGCCTGAAGGATCTCACGCAGCACTAGGGAATTGAGCAACATAAGGCAAACTCTCCTGAAACGATGTTGCAAAGATCTGGCTTTCAACAATGCTCCCCACCTCTGGTCTTCAGGAAGGTTTTCACATGGGTATTTTCAGTTCTGTGCCCATCCCACTCATTTTAGGAGTGTAAGATTTGTTCTCTCTTTTATTTTATTATGGTCTTAACATTTATGCGTTTCACATTCCTCCAGCATTGCTGCTGCAGACAAGAACACTGGAGATACAAATAATTATTATTTCCATTATTTAAAAATGTATTATTTTATCTCCAAGTCAAGCTCTTACATTAATCTATGTAACATTACCCAGCCTACCTTTGAATTGATAAATGAGAGATGTCTTTTCTCTCTTAGGTCTCTTTTTTTAAAGTTATGTGCCATTATATGTGCTCCAGTTTTATATAAATTGGGTGAAGGAAACAAAGTATTCTGTTCTTTTCACAATTATGTTTCTTACCATTAGCACTTAATCTGTCTAAAAATTTGAAGGCAGCTTTACTCCCAGTTTCTCATCTGCACACCTCATTCCCTGAACCTCACACAGCACATTTGAGATTACAAAACACTGGAGGAGACCACCACAGACAAATACAAACAAGTCATGTAATTTACTTTCCAAAGGCATTGCAAACACTGCTACTAACAAGGTTTGTAAAGAGATGAAAGTAACCAAATGTGTTTGGGGTAAACATGTTTCTATTGTATCACACCTTCAAAAATTGAGCAGATCTTAAAATATAACTTTATTATGACACACACATAATACAGAAACCAAAATTAAAGCACCTCCGCCTCTCATTTTACGCTGACAAAGACCTGAAGCTCAACACTCAGCACTTTAAAGGCCTTTCAAGTCTGCAGAGCAGCTCCTCTGTTCTTTAAGGATGTGACAGGAAACATCAGAAAAGGTATTTTCTAGGCAATTCAGAAGTACTTCTGAGCATCCCTCAGGAAACCTCTACTCAACCACAGCACCTCTGCTAGGAGGAAGTACCAATAAGCAGGAATTTCCTTCCATGTTCCAAGAAGTGCATTAAACCCTCTGGGATTTCCACACTCCCAGTAATCACAGCTGTCTGACCTGAAATCTGGCCCATTACAAAGCAGATGTGCTGACTATGCCTCTCACAGAAAGCATAAGACCCTGCAGCCAAAATCTCTGATGTCAGGCAACAGAACAACCTATTTCCATGCAAAGTGTTTATTTTCAGAGGACTGAGCTACCAGGAAGCACACACAACCTGTTATCCCAGGAGAAATCACTGCACATAAGCAGAGGCATTTGCCAACTCTTGCCATCAATGAGCAAACAAGCAGTGGTAATCCAAACCTCCACTCACTCACCAAGGTCTAAAATAACTCAGAGGCTCTGGTTTGCCATGCAGGAGGATCACCCACACAGCCACTTTGTGTGGAACAGGGAACTCGCTGCAGCTTTTGTATTGGTTGCATGCCTGAGCCCAAGAGACAGAAATCTTGTTTTTCATCCCTAGACAACACATTCCAAGCAAACCCAGCTAGGAAAACTCTGCCACCCACGCCAGCTGAGAATCTCCCCAGTCAGCACTGGTGGTTGCAGGAAAACCTGCCCAGATCACAGCGGGCACGGAGTGAGCAGGGCCACAGCCACTGCCTGCTGCCCCCAGAGTCCTCCAGACAACCAGCCCCGGCTGAAGGGAAGGAAATCACCAATTCTTACCAAAAGAATCCTGAAATACAGAGCCAGGATCTACCCTAACAACACACCACCAGCTTCAAGATGGACTCAGTGGTCTGGAGCTTCTTCATCTTTTAATTGTGCAGTATTTGCATAAATTGTCAGATGTGAGCGACAAATGTCTTTTTTCCTCTCCTCTAGCATTTTAGAACTTTATTTTGTAAAAATCACCAGTTATTCCATGTACTCAAAGTTCCCAAAGAAGGTACAGCGTGAGTAGGAGTACGAGAAAGAGAGAAGACAACCTGAAAGATGCTGGGCAAAAAGATTTTGTCTTTTCATGGCAAATTTTGCTACCAACAACCACACCCATCAGCTGGGGAGTGGAAGAGAGAGAACACAGATTTGTAAAGGAGTTCAATTTCATCACCTCCAAAACACAGCAGGTCAGGATCAGAGCTATTCACCAACAGAAGAGTGAATCTCTTTCTACATAAAACCACTGCATCCAACTCTTGACAACACCAACCGATTCATGAAGTGTAAAGAACTTCAAAAGAATTTTTACTTAAATTTCAATACTTTTTCTGATAAGAACCTTTCAATACTTCAAGAAAAAATTTGAATAGTAAGTAAACTAATTTTACACATTGATTTTTTTCTCCTGTCACTAATAATTTGAGTATTTTGCTCCACTCAAAACTTGCCCTGCACTTGCAGTAAGGCAATGTTCCAACAAGTATGTGTGACCTACAAGCAACTGTTTGTTTCCTACAGTGTTTGTAAATGTAACATATATCCAAGGGAGCCCAAATGAGGATTCCTGACAAATTTGTGAGCTTATTATTGTGACACCTGCACAAGAAGTTATGATAACAAGTTGTACACATCACCACTGTGTCACTCTGTTCAAAGTCCAGATTTCCAGCCCAAGGCAGACCAATGCTGATGCCATACAGAACTGATAGTACTTTTTTACATTCTTGCTCTCCTAGAAGTTCATCACAGCAACTGCTGATTTCAGACACCAAACAGTATTTAACTCACATGATCAGGGCTTCCCATTCAAAGAAGTTCTCTTCATTCATGGGACCTGCGAAACAGAACAGAACACTGCTCAGAGCCACCTGAACACAAGGCCACAGCTCCAGAGTGCACAAACCCTGCTCAGCTTCTCACCTGCCACAATCCCTTCTGGTGGGTTCAGGGTCAGCTCTGCAAAAACAGAAACACAAGGAAGATTGAGGTGACTTGCAAGCCCAAACATTTCAGGGGTGTGTGAGTGGCCATGGCTTAGCACAGGGGCCCCACCACCATTGCTTAATGCAGCACAATATTCTAGACAAATTTGGCACTTTGGGGTTTTTCAGGCTCCTAGAACTAGCCTTGGAATCACAGAATTGTTTAGGTTGGAAAAGACCTCTAGGATCATTGAGTCCTCTGTCTTCACAGAGGCAGTAATTGAAACCTGAGAAGGAAGACAAAAGCATTTCACAAAGCCTGGGAAACACTCTTCTCTTGCACCCCTGTGGTATCTGCTGGACACCATAACAGCCTGAAGTTTGTATTCCTGTAACCTCTTTGCACCATTCAGGTTTGATGCACCGCAGTGCAAAACCCAGAACAACACAAAAACAGGAGAAGCAGACACGTGAGAATTCAATCCAACCTCCTAAATGGCCTGGAAAGTGTGAGTTAAAAAAAAAAGAAGCATCAATAAAACAGCTATGGCTGCACAGGCAAACTTGGATCCATCAATCCTCACTTTCTCTAGGAAACTGATGCAACTCCAAATTCATGAAACAATCTTCAGCATCAGCCCCTCACCTCAAGCTGGTGAAGGCCAGTACACCACGTGCTGATAAAATAACAACCAGATTTTCTCTATCTAGTGGACTGACCATCAGTTTCTAGGTTCTGATGTTCTGCAGGGAGGCAGCAGCAGCAGCTCAGGCACAATTCAGCCACAAACAGGCAACCAACTGTGCCAGCAGTGCTGGGGGCTCAATGCCAACCCCAAGGCTCTGAGTGAGCCACGGGGCAGCTGCTGGAGCTGGTGGCAGGAGGTGACACTCCCAGCTGCTTATCCAGCACAGTGTTTCCTAATCAATGGCCTCTGGAGCACCAGTGGCCAGTAACACACAGAACACAGCCAGAGACACTTGACCTAATTTCTGTTCAGGCTGTAGGTGAAAGCTGTATGGGTAGTGCTGCACAGAACAGATTCTGTCTTACAACAGCTCCTTTGCTGCAGGATTCAAACAAGATGCTGAGATGGATTGCCAGGAGAGATCTTCAGTTTGCTCAGAATGCCCTTAACCTTGGAACAGCCCTCTCTGAAGTTCCAAAGCCTAGCAGCAGATGGAAACTCAGCCCTGCTGTTTTCCACACGTCCTTGCATTCCATGGCAGGTTTTTCCAGCTTCACAGTGGGTCTCCAATAGCTTTTCTTGTTGATGTTTTTAGACAGAAAGAGGGAGATGTCAAACACAGGAGCTCCTGGAATCATTTTGCTCCATCTTGTGGTTTTCTCTAAGAAGAAAATCCCCTGATGTTTCCCTGGAAAAGCTGGCAGCAGCTTTCCCTGTGGTGGGCAGCCACATGGAATTGTGCCATACAGCACTCCACTCCAAGGAGAACGGGGCAATGGGAATAAACAGCCAAAGCCCACAGAGCAAAGGGTCTTCATGAGGACAGAGGTACAATTCTCCACTTCCTTGCTCAGCTCCCCTTCAGAGAAAGGTCTCCCTCCTTAAGGATCAGGTAAAGTAGAATCTGGGCACTCAGGGGCACGGGAGCTTTGATTTTGAGCGACTGCACCTGGTCATTGAGAAAGGTCTGCATGGGGACAGTGACATCCTAGCCTGTGACTGCCCCAGAGTTGATCAAAAGGAAACTGAGAGCCCAGCTGAACATGAACCACCAGGAGCTGACACAGCATCAGCTGCTACAGCTCACCAGAGCCTCCAAAACAGGGTCACTTCAACAGAATGTTGGGGGGGTGTCCAATTATTTGTAAGTGAGCAGCAGAAAGCAGTGAAAGGCTAAAACCAATGTTCTGATCACATGCAGAGTGACTCTGACAGACCAGCTAGGCCAAACAGTCCCACTCAGTATAAAAATTTTCCATAATAGCCAAGCTAAACCTCCCCAGGTGCAACTTTTTATTTGTTCCCTGGGAGCAGAGCCAGACCTTGTGAGCTTAAAACAGAGCTGACACCAGATAAGTGCGATGCTTCTATCAGGAATTCGGGGCACAGCACACAGTGCCTTCCTTCTCATTTCACTGCTCTTTGTGGAGTCATTATCAGCCAATTCCACCTTGGAGATGGCTCTCAGGAGAACTGAAAACACATCTTGTTAAAGCCCTGAAGAGACTGAGATCATCCTTAAAAGAGAAGTTCAACAGTATGTTTCCTAAAAACGGCAGCCATTTAGCAAACCTGTAAGGGGATTAAAAGCTCAGGACTCAGGAAATATTATGGGTACCTGCTCACTGCAGTATCTGACAGCATCTGGACTGAGATGCTTGAAAACAGCCAGTTTTCTTGTGACTCCACACAACTCTCCCCAGGCACTAAGGATGGGAGGCACCCACTGAAGCCCTGCCAGTTTCAGAAGGTTTATTATTTCTGTGACTTCCCAAATCTCACAATTAACATAAATCTATTATTTTCAACCTGACAGCACTTCCAAAGAAACCTGCTGGCATTACAGTCCACTGCCCTGTAGCCTGTTTGTACCAGGAAGGAAATCCAGTGCATACAATCAGGCACTGGGTCTCTAGAGATTTAATTCTTCCAGAGTGACTCATTTTAGACTTGAAATTTCAGACAGCATAAGACATCTTCAAGATCTGGCATCAAGAACCAGTAAACACAGAAAAATAATGTTTCCATCTTTTAACTCTCACAAATAAAAGCTACTGAGAGACTTAGGTCAAGCCTTAATACTATTATACATCTAGAATTAACAAAGGTACATGCTCTAATAAAAATGATGCCCTTTTTTTGTATCTGATTTTATTTTTTTTAAGCTTCAGCCAAACTAGTTCTGGCAGACTAGATAGTAAATCTGAGAAAGCAAAAAGTCAAACATGCAAAGATCCAAATGAGGACAAGAAACCAAATCCATATCATCTGGATGTCCACAGCTTCCCTTCCTTCTTCAAAAGAAAAGAAAACCAGTGCAATTTCACAGCCTCTCCCAAAATGCAGTAATATATCTGAGCTCCAACAGGTAGAAACCCCTCACAATGTCAAGAATTTTTCACAGAAGGAAATTATAAATCTTTAAATTAAGACTTAAACATGTGTGTGCACATGCACAGGAAAAGATGAAAGACAAAAATTGAAAAAGGAAAAAATGGGAAGAATTAGAATTCTGGTAAGGAGAATACACCCACCAGCAAGGCACTGACTGCCAACACCACTGTCACTACTAGAAGTAACTAAAGGGAAGAGACAGAGGAGAAGAGGGAAAGTAAAGACAAAAGATGTGTCCACAACTTTGTACATAACACACACAAGATTTCACCCAAGGTGAGCAGTCAGGAGAGGGTTAGGGTTAGGGTCACTGAAAACCATTCCCATGCCCACACTCACCCAGGGCAACCACATCCCTGCCAGCAACACACATCATCAGGAGTGAGAAACTTCACACTGAGCTGAAGCTCAGATTCCAGCCCTGTCCCAAGGCAGGACTTGCTCCTTCTCTGCAAAAAGAGGCAGCAGAACTACCAGGAGCTGTTTTTATTTTTCATAATAACTTTAGCTGAAAATCTCTACAGGCCTCAGAGATTCTGCAGAGCTACAAGTAACTGGCACTCTTTAGAGAAACACTAGGGAAAGGTTGTAAATCAGGCTTGATTCTGGGGTTTGTGCTAAAGGGAAATAACAAACATGCAGCAGAGGGGAATCCAGAGACACCAAAATGTCTGTTTTACTGCACTGCTGCAGCTCAGGTTTCCAGAAAGCACCGTGCACTCAGCCACTGTCAGTTACATTCATTTTTTACAACACTGTGTTTTATTGGGCGTGGGAAAGTGCTCGTAAAGGCAGATCACAGACAAAACATTATCTCTGTTCATGACCAGTGCTACCCTGGGAAACTAGGCACAAAGATTCACCTCATGTCTGCATGTGGCACTAAGTCAAAATCTTTCTGAGGTCATTTAATATCATTTTTCCTAAAGATTTTGTTCATAGAAGACACTCCAGTAAGACCTCTGCGCTCCTCAACAACAAAGGATCATAAATGCTTTTTTGAGACTTAGGGGATTGATAGGAGAGGACAGAAGCAGTGCCAAGACTTTCTGTGGTTATTTTTCAGGTCGCTGCCTCTGGATTACAACAGGAAAATGCAGATTTCTAGGACACACGTTGTCAGCACAAACTTCACCACTCAGCAGCCCAAGCTGGGTGGGGAGCCCTGGCTGCCCAGAGCCCTGTGTGACAGCTCAGCTTGGAGAGCTGTGCTCTGCAGAGCAGCCTGAGAACAGGCACAGGGGAGCCCTGGCTGCCCAGAGCCCTGTGTGACAGCTCAGCTTGGAGAGCTGTGCTCTGCAGAGCAGCCTGAGAACAGGCACAGGGGAGCCCTGGCTGCCCAGAGCCCTGTGTGACAGCTCAGCTTGGAGAGCTGTGCTCTGCAGAGCAGCCTGAGAACAGGCACAGGGCTGGCAGGAAATGTGGGCTATAAATACTGTCTCTCACACAGGCTGGAGTATTCCGCTGAATGATGACAGAAACAATGTCATCCATGCCTGGACAGCCTGGGGAGCACAGTCAGTGACCTTCCCTGGAGCACAGAGTCTGTTCTTTCTGCCCAGCTCCCTCCAGCCCCACCAAACGTTTCTCTTCTCCATTCTACTTCCTCGCTGTAAATAAAAGCCAGAGCATTAAAGCCCCAAAGCACCTATGCACACAAACAAGTATTTCTTGCCAACAAAAGGCACCTTTGGACACGTCTCAAACCCATCAGGGAGCAGATGAGCCATCCCAGAAGCTCCGGGATTCCCAGAGGGATTCCCAGCCCTCTGCTGCAGGTCTCTGGTCCCTGTGGTGAGCATCACTGCAGCCACATCCCACAGTGGTTTTTAAACAAACAAGTCTATGCCTTTCATTACTAAATTTGAGTTTAAATCCTTTTACTGGCCATTCTGCTTCCACTGAGGACTTCACAGAATTACAGAATTGTTCAGGTTGGAAGAGAACTTAAAGCCAGCTCATTCCACATGGGCAGGGACACGTTCCACTAGCCCAGCTCACTCCAAGCCCTGTCCCACCTGGCCCTGGACACTTCCAAGGATGGGGCAGCCACAACCAGAGGCCATCTGCCCTGACAAACATCTCTAATTACTTTTGACATAATAACAGAGCTCTGCAACAGAGATTTCCATACCTGTATTCTGTTCCATCTGGAAAATTTAACAGGGAAAAACATCAAAATAACTGGCCACTTGCCCAGGGTTCCCAGCCTCCCCGTGACTAAGGTCCTGGAACCACGGGATTCCAGAGGTGTCACCCGCACACCGAGCTGTCCCCTCGGTGTCCCAGCGGGACAGGGGCAGGACCCCCTTCCCACAGCCGCCTCAAAGCCGGCAGTGCCCCGTACCCAGCCGGTGACCCTCACCCCGCCCCGGGAGCTCTGCAGGGAGGCAGAGAGGAGCCTGCAGCCGGCGGGGGTGAAAGAGCGGCCGGCGGGGCACGGGGCGCCGAGAGGGAGGCCCACGGCCTGGCCTGCCCGGCGGCCGTCACGGCCCCGCCCGGCCCGCCGGCTCTCCCGGGCTTTGGGAGCGATCCCGGCAGGAGGGCAGCGCGAGGGGCCCGGGGAGCGCCACTCACGCTTGTACTCGGCCATGAGCCGCTTCAGCGCCGTCCCCGCCATGGCGCGGCCCCGCCGCCGCTTCCGGGTGCGCGGCCAGAGCGGCCGCGGCCGGGCGGGGTGCGGGCGGCGCTCTATCCTCCAGCTTCGCCTCTATGGTAGCGCCCAGTCCTCCCACCGGCACCAGGCGGAGCGGGAACGCCCCGGGAGTTCCCTGTGGGAAACGACAGGGAGGGAGGACACAGGAGAATCCGCAAAATGCCCCACGGAGCGGGGGTAGCGCGGGGTTGTAGCTGCGCACAGCCTTCGGATTGCCCGGAGCAGCCCCCCCGCGGCCCTTCCTGCCGGGATGGCCACAGAGAGCGGGGGCAGCGGCCCGAGCCCCGCCGTGGATCCGCGGGATACCCCACCCCAGCTCCCCACCGCCGTGGAGAAGGGAATGAGGGCTTGTCCGGCGAGATTTCAGCAAGCAGGAGCATAGCTAGGGCGAACAAATGGAAAGAGAAAAGGCCGGGTGTGATTCCATGGAGCAGCAGGACAGCCTGAGTTAAAATTCCTCTGGAACGGGCTTCATGGAGTCCAAACCACCACACAAATAATTAAACCTCAGCAAGGTTGGAGGGGCAGGACAGCAGTTTATTATTATTATTATTATTTTGAAGACACCTCAATGTCTCTCCTCACTAGCTCTTCTGCACAATTAGGTGACATTAAAAGGCATTTCTTCCCCCCCAATTTACCAAGTTTATCTACCAAAAAGAGGTATTAAAAAGAAACCTGAGGCCTCAGACTTCCAGTGCCCACAGAGAAAGAGTCAAAGTTAAGGGAGCAGGGCAAAGAGACAGATGCTGTCCAGCCCTCAGCAAACAGCTAGAATTTCAGTGATGGGAGTTTTATAAGATTTCACAACCAAGAAAACCCCCACAGCCTACTCTATCACAAGCATTAGTTTTTTGGACCAGCTGCCCTGCTACCTCCAGTTCTGCAATAGTGCAGGACAAAAAAAAAAATAAAAATCCCATTTCTGCACTAAAAAAGTACATTTTGGCCTACTTTATCATAATATGAAAAAACACCTGTAAACCTGAAGTACTTAAACCCTTTCCTAAGCATAGTATTGTGTTCTAGCCCCAGTCAAGGGCATGATGCTGCCCCAGGGACTGACTGAATTTGTAACACCAGCTAAAAACTTAAAACCTGTATCTGTGGTCCTTCTTTCAGGCACATCTTAAAAGGAAGCTTTTACACTCACATTTGACATGAAAATACATTGAACTATTTATATAATCTGAGTTAAAACAGAGGGACAAGACCAACCAGAGCCAGGAAAGAACACTTAGTGTCCCAAAACATAGATGAATGCTTAGGCCACAAGTTTAGAGAAAGAAAAAAGAGAATACAAACAATACATTTTTACAAAAGGCTAACAACATAGAGACAACACACATTACTTAATCTGACTTTAAAATGGTGAAATTCAGACACAGCTCAATCCCTGCAGGTACTACTTTGACTTGTGCACTCAGAATGTCAAAGACAACAAGCAACTTTGGTAAATATCCTGTGAAGTTTCAGAGAACCCTGTGTGACTGGCATGTTCATTTGTTCCTTAATAAAACAACAAATCCAAGGACAGATGAGAGAGTGAGGTGTGATGAGGATCCTCAAACTGTTCTCCCAAAGAGGCTGTGTCTGAGCACCCTCCACCTGTCTGCTGCTGGTACACTTCGATCGTGTCGTTGTGTTCCATCTCCAGCTGAGGGAGTAACACAGGAATTATTTTAACATTTTAAAAACATAGAAATTGTAAGTAATAGAGAAAACTTGAGAAATATGTGGTCACAAAAGCACGTGGCTCTCTGCTCCTACTCAGCACTTCAGGAATAACTTCAATTAACTAAGACATGAAACACTTTCCATCAGTCACCCTGCACAAATTTGTTGGAACATGCTAAACTCACAGCAACTATTTCAGGATCATTTTGATTTCCAGCCCCTTTGATCACCTCTCAGACACCCGAATATCAGTGTAGCAATTTGCAGTAAGAGTGTTTTTCATACCTGTGCAGGTGTGTCTGCTTCTTTAATTGGCTGTCCATCAAACAGGAACATAATGTGCCTCATTGACAAGCCCTGCAAGTTCAAAGTTATATATGAGAAACCACACCTGATTTCTGAATCCAAACTAAGTATTCACAGATTTACTGTCAGAACACATGGTAACAAAATTAACACTCAAAAGACAAGGGGGATGACACAAGATAGATTTAGATCAGGTATTAGGAGGGAATTCTTCCCTGTGAGGGTGGTGAGGCCCTGGCACAGGGTGCCCAGAGAAGCTGTGGCTGCCCCTGGATCCCTGGAAGTGTCCAAGGCCAGGTTGGATGGGGCTTGGAGCAACCTGGGCTAGTGGAAGGTGTCCTCATGGCAGGGCATGGGACTGGATGGGCTTTAAATTCCCTTCTAACCCCAAACCATTCTGTGATTCTCAGATTTAACCACCAGGACACTGAGCATATTTGTCTTGCTGTCTACACTGAGGAAGGTCAAATGCTGGTAACTTTACATGGCCCTTAAAACCTGAGTTACCACACTACTGTTCTGACAGCGTTTAATCACATGAGGAAGTCTTTATTCCCTGCATTACGGATTGAGGACCTTGCTCTGCCCTCTAAAATCCATGTGATTCACACTTCTGTCACACACAGGAATGCTAGAACTCCTGTACCTCTCCAAAAACCCAGAGAGGTGTCAGGGTGCAGCAGGCACAGAGCAGGGCAGAGTGTGAAGTTTGAATAAGCAAAGAAAGGATCCTACAAGTAACAGACAAGGGCAAACAAAATCTGTTTCCAAAGCCATTCACATGCCCACCCTCTGCTCTGCGTAAAACTGGGAGCTCCAGGCTCAGGAACTGAGCTGTGGGGATGAATCCTTCAGTTCAGGATGCACTGAAGAACAGCCTGTGACACCTGTGGAACACAGGTCACAACTGTGCAATAGGCAGCAGGAGACACGGGAAGGGAGAAGGAAACAACCCATGAGGAAGCCGTGGTATAGAAGAATTTATTTTGTGCCGTTTTCCAAATAGAAAATGCACTCAAAGCTGACGAAGTTTTTCAAGATGACAGGACTGAGGGTTAGTGAATTGTCTCAAAGTCAGGATCGGAACTGGAGGAATTTTTGTAACTCCGTCATGGGACATTAGGGAGCACCTGAAGAGGAAGAGGCAGCTTCCATTCACCCATAAGAGCCCCGCACCGAGAAGCTGCCAGCATCCCAGCTCCTCATTCTCCCACACACCTGGACACCCTCACTCTGCCCACAAGCATGTGCCACGATCCGGGCAGAGAAGCAGCGAGGGTTGCACCAGCAGGGGATGCTCGGCCGGAGTGGCAGAGCCCCTTGGGTCCGTGCGGGTCCCCCCGGAGCCCCCGGGCCGTGCCCGCGCCTACCTGTCGGCAGCAGTACGCCTTCATGAGCTTGCTCAGCGGAGTGTGCCGCTTTATTCTGAACTGCACCAAGGAGCCGTCCTGCCCGACAACTTTCAGGTCGATGTGCTCGATCTCCGTTTTCACGCATTCCTGGACGGAAAACTGCAGGATGCGGCGGGCTCAGAGCTTTGCCGGGTGAGCCCCGCTCGGGCCGGACACCACCAGCCACATCCTGCGGCACCTCGGCCGGCCCCGCTCCTGCTCCCCGCGGCCGGGACACCTCGGCCGGCCCCGCTCCTGCTCCCCCCGGCCGGGACACCTCGGCCGGCCCCGCTCCTGCTCCCCGCGGCCGGGACACCTCGGCGGCCTCGCGCCACAGGGGAGGCGGAGCCGCACCGAAGCCGTACCCCGGGAGGAGGAGTGGCGGCCGCTCTTCGCTCCCGCCCAGCTGCCCGCTCCTCCCCTCCCGCCGGCTCCTCCCCTCCCGCCTTCCAGCCTCTCCGCTCCCGCCGGCCCCTCCCGCTCCTCTCCCCGCCTCACCCGGAGCTTCTCCTTCGACATGGCGGGGGGGTAGCAGGGGGTTCGCGTGGGGGGCGTGGCCAACGGCCAAGGGGCGTGGCGGGACCGCGTGCAGGCGCGTCTCCTCTGAGCCGCGCGGGGGCGCTGTGCTCCGGCGCGGGGACCGGCGTGAGGGGAGCGCCCGGGACACCCCCGGGACACCCCGGAATGCCCCGAAACAGCCCCTGGACACCCCCGGGACGCCCCGAAACAGCCCCTGGACACCCTCGGGACCGCACGTTGCCGGTCGCACGGCAGCTCCTGAGTGCGGGAAAATAGGGGACGAGAAGCCTTCCATCAAGAATCCAGTGTCTCCAGCCCAGTCCAGCCCAGTGCTGGGGTGTTTGGATCCCCCTTAAGCCGAGGAGAAGCGAGTTTGCCTCGATCCACAACTGAGGAAAGAATTAGATTCTAAACATACCCGAAAGTGAGATTAAAACACAAACGAGGTTAAATGTTGAGATCCAAACAGATATTTCAACCTTTATTTTTTCATAAAAGAAAGAAGGTAGAAAAGTGGGGGTAGCCAAGAATAATTACTTGAAGCACAGGGAAGGTGTTACCACCACCATGGGTCCAGCGCTGCCTCACAGAGCGCGATGGGCCTTTCACAGCCGAATTCCATCCAACAGCTGCCAGTGGAGGAGCAGAGCCAGGCAGCTGGACCAGCACTGTGGGAGGGCACGAGCAGGCAGCAAAGGCTCCCACACTTTGTAGATTTAGAAGCTGCAGCTTCTGTGGCACTTGCTTATAGAGGGTTTTGAAAGTGGCAATGTCATGTCCACCTCAAGGCAACAGCACGCCCGTGGTCAGATTCATGTTTGCTCCCTTAAAGTTCATTGGCTGGTCGTTGGAATTCAGCCGAGGTTTGCCTGATGTATCAAAAAGAAAAACATTTTTCTTCATTTTACTCGTTCACTATACAGGGCCAGGTGAGAGCAGGGTGGGAAGTTGGTGCTGACAGAGCTGCCCCTGCACAGAGGGGCAGAAAGGGCTCCGTGCTTCTTCAGAGGAAACCCCCTAAATATGAGACCCATCCTGCTGAGTCCACTTCTCCCACAGGCAGTGCCCTTGAGCCAGTGGCCAAGGCTACCTCCTCCAGCCCTAGGGGTGTTGTGAGGCCAGGAGAGAGGAGGAGGTTCTGTCCC